AAAAAAAAAGAAAAACAGAAAAGGAAAACACAAGTTGGGGAAAAAAAGGTACATACGGCTCACGTAGTCGCTGAGCAAAAGACGCTCGCACGGCAAGCACTCATTCACCAATACAACCAGTCACATCTAGAACAAGAAGAACATGCAAGGAAAAGGGTGGGAGGCGCTCGGCACAACGGGGCTTTGACGCGTTTAAAAACACACGCAGACAAAGTCCGAGACCCATTATGTGGATCAAAATGACGACACAAACATGTAAAACGAGGTCAAGCCCCAACTCAGATCAGCTCGGCCACTATTGACAAAAACGGGGAGAGAAGAGCGAAAACAAGAAGATACGCGAGGGTGAGAAATCTCAAACCAATGAGGGTCCAGTCAAACTGGAAATTGATAAAAACGCTTGGAAACACGGCCGACAAGCCGTACCGTTCATGGGCATTTCATCAATCTGGGTGGCATAGTACTGCTCGATGTCACGAAGAATCTTGACGTCCTCGTTGGTGACAAAGTTGATGGCAACACCCTTGCGGCCGAAACGACCGGAGCGACCAATGCGGTGAATGTAGAGTTCACGGTTGTTGGGCAAGTCGTAGTTGATGACGAGCGAAACCTGCTGAACATCGAGGCCACGGGCCCAAACGTCAGTCGTGATCAGCACGCGGCTCGAGCCAGCGCGAAACTCGGACATGACGTCGTTGCGATCCTTTTGCAGCATATCGCCTGCCAGAAGCAAAAACCGGGAAAATGAGTAACCGAATACACACAAGCCCAAGTACAAACAATTTGAAATAAAATAAAAGGCCAAAGTGGTGGAACGGCGGTGATTCGAGGCGACGGGCAGGTGGGGCAACAACGGGCCAGTGGGATCAGGTGATAATAAAATAGACTCAACAAGAAACTTCAGTGAGATTCCACACTATCTGAACATCATTTCCAAGCCCTTGTTGTTGTTGTTGCCCCTTCAACCGATACCCGTCGCCCACACCAAACCACCACATTGACCAACAGATAGATAGATAGATACAGGGGGTTGATAAAACAAAAACAAAAACGCACCGTGCATGGAAGAAACGGTGAAGTTGGCCTCCCGCATCTTCTCGGTGAGCCAATCGACTTTTTGCTTTGTGTTGCAGAAGATAACGGCCTGGGTGATGGTGAGGGTATCGTAGAGGTCACACAGCGTGTCAAACTTCCATTCTTCGCGCTCCACCGCCACGAAGAACTGCTTGATACCCTCCAGCGTCAACTCATCACTGTCGACGACACACAAGCAAATATGGAAAAGTCAGGGCAGGGTGGGCCCACCTCGACGAGCAACCCCAGAGTAGACAATGACATACCGCTTGACGAGGATACGGATGGGATCGGTCATGAATTTGGTGGTCATTTCGAGGATTTCGTTGGGCAGGGTGGCACTGAGCAAGACAACTTGCGTGGCCGGGGGCAGGTAGCGGTAAATGTCATAAATCTGGTCCTTGAAGCCCTGGTTCAGCATCTCATCCGCCTCATCCAAGATGAGCATCTTGATGTTGCTAAAGGACAGACGAAAGAAAGATGAGACGAGTCATTCAAGGTGGAAGGTGTAGGAACACAAGCTATTGCTCGCACTTGCACCGCACGGAAAAGAATCGAACACAAGGGAAAAAAGCACCACACTCAACGTACCGGGTGCGAAGGTTGCGACGCTGGATCATGTCAAAAACACGACCAGGGGTACCAGAGACAATGTGTTGGCCGTAATCAAGCTTGCGGATGTCTTCACCGACGGACGTGCCGCCAATGCAGGCATGGCACTGGACACTCATGTAGTCGCCGAGGGCCAGCATGACCTTTTGAATTTGAACAGCCAACTCGCGGGTGGGGGAGAGGACCAGGACCTGGGTCTCGCGCGAGGTTGTGTCGATGGTTTGCAGGGCCGAGATGGAGAAGGTGGCCGTTTTACCGGTACCGGATTGGGCTTGGGCGATGACATCGCGACCCTTCACAATGGGTTTGATGGCACGCTGTTGCACAGCCGAGGGCTTCTCAAAGCCATAGGCGTAGATACCACGGAGGAGGTCCTCGCGCAGACCAAGCGCATCAAAGGTCGGCGTCACGTCGACCTGCCACATCAGACAGACCAATACAACAGAAAAGATGAGCAACGGCAATCGCCACACGTGGTCGTCTTTGTTTTGTGATCGCCAAACCGGCTACAGCCAGTTCTCACCAAGCCCTGCCTGCCCCCTCCAATCTTCCAACCCATGCGACACCAACACGGCTAGGCACTGCCATCAAGAACATCGCGCCAACTCACATCATCGCTCGTCTCAAAGTCGAGTTTCTTGTCGTCGGCCATGGTCACTGGTGAACGTGGTGCACCGCGCCCGCCTCAAAAATAACTATAAATCTCAGCCGGATTTTTGCCCTTGAACCCTATTCAAATCCTCTCGACGTCAATTGACACCTGGTTTTTTTCTTTTTCTTTTTTCTCCCTTTGTTCTTCTTTTGCCTTCCTTCAACGGCTACGGTTTCCAAATGGCGAAACCAGTGAGATGTTGAAAACGTTTTGCGGTTGTTTTTGGCGGGAAACGTTTGCGGCTATTTGTCGACAACATGGCGCTGCAGCTGGTCGTGGACGAGTTACGGGGGTTACAGGCTCGGAGGGATCAATTGCTTCGGATAATTATGCACGGCAAGTCCCTACTGGCAGTACAGCTTATATTGCACATCGGAGTTCACAATCGCCGGTCTGCCCCGTGTGCGTCGTGCAGAGCGTCAGCAAGGGATCGAGCTTACCCAGTCGCGCAACCAATGTCTGGCGGCCCAGTCACGAGAGGCAAACAGGCCTTCCGAGCTCACTGAGCAGCCACTCCCACAAATTTACACAGGCATTGAGGACGAGCTTGACCTGGCGCGGCGGGCCGAGCAGGTGACGATGGAAACCCAGACGTTGGTCCAGCGGGTCAACGCGCTGCTGGAGCGAGCTCGACAAGCTGAAGCTGCAGATGCGGCGGCCTGCGTGCAGGTGCAGACCGCGCCTGCCCTGCTCAAACGTCTCAAGTGAGAGGCACGTTGAGTGCTTCGCTCAGTTGCGAGATGGCCGTAGCCGGCATGTCGTAAAACTCCGTATTCAGAGGGTATGAGCTGGGCGCGGTGACAAAGCCTTCCTTGGAAGGCTCGGGGTGTCGGTCGTAGTGTGCCTGGTAGTGAAACTCGTGGTCACACATCTTGTAGGTGAACAGACTGGAGGGACCCTTGCGCAAAATCACGTCCCCGCTCACTTCCGCCTGCCAGCAAGGCACAAAGGCAAATCATCGACGACCCAATCGTGCCACAATCGAAACTCGGACCATGGCCACGAATTGTGTTGGTGCGAGGATCAAAGAACAAAGTGAAAAAAACCTTTCAACACAGCACATACCGCAAGACATGCCCGCGATGCAGCAATGCCATTAACAAAGTTGGTTCCCATGTCCGAATCGGGCAGATAACGCAGCTCCGGCTTGCGCCTATTTTGCATCAAACGTGAATGGACAGGGGGCGCGCGCATCGCTCCCGATCCTCACATCCGTTATTGCAGATTAATCCTTGTGCGTGAAACCTTGGTACCCCACCACCGACGCACGTACCAGTCGGCGCCACATTCGCCGTCGAGGTTGTTAGTGACAGGATTGTATGTGAGGTAGTTGAAGTTGTGCTCCTTATCTTCGCGTTTCTCCACCGCCTCCTTAAGCCTGCACCATCAAATCAGCGAGATGCAGATGCAATCAAACAGAGAGCCAGACAGATTGGCGGAGAGATGATGTGTCAGATGCCTCGATGAGGGGGGGGGGGGGGGGGGGGGGGGCAAAAAAAACCGGGGAAGGGCCCTGAAAAAAAAG